ACCCCTGAGAAGATTTGAAAGGTACAGGAGGCGAGCACAGTGGCATTCATTTCTTCAGTATGATCATGAACGGGGTATTTTTGAAGTTAAGACCGCTATCAACGGACACCGTGGGAATAATCTACAGACGGTGAATGAAAATAGAAGGTTATGTTCATGTGGGAAATGGACCATCTACCGCATGTCGTGCGCACATGCGTTGAAGTGCTTTCAACAAGTTGGATATGGGGCAACAAACTATATTGATAGGCAATACAGTGTTGCTGCATACATAGACACGTATAGTGGAAAGTTGCATCCATTAGGTGCTGAGCATTATTGGCCGCCGGAACCTTTTATGTTGGTATGTAACAAGGACTATTTGCGCAAGCTGAAAGTGCAAAAGAGAACGCGTATACAGAACCAAATGGATGTTGATGAGTCCGTTTATGCTCGTAAATGTGGCATATGCTCTCAAACAGGACATGACTGTCGTAAATGTCCTTTAGGTGGTGTGCGTGCCGGTGGTAATCCTGGTGCAAGTTCGTCCAATGTACCCAACTATCAAGGATACCCCTAGTCCTTTATTTTGGTATTATTTTTTGTAATACATGTCTGTATTTTTGTTTGTTTCAATATATATGAAATAAAATAAATTTCCACAATCCTGTTACATCTTATTTTTTAACGTTATATTTTGATATGGTTGGAGCAATATTGAGGTACGGGTGTTAGTAAACATGAGCAAGAATGTGGTATAAAAGAAATTTTCGTTATGAAATAAATTAAATATGTAAAGCGTGGTACAATAATGTGTTTAATCAATTGTCTTGTCGTTCTTAAAAGCTATAAAGCGTTGTTCAAAAGCTTGAATGAATGAATTTTTTTTTTTTGCAGAAAAATTAAATATGTAAATCTCAGTATAATACTACGTTTTATTAAGTTGTCACTTCGTTCTGAAAAAGCTGAAAAGCATGTGAAAACACTGCTTTGTTTCAGATAAATTTAATATGTAATTCGCAGTATTATACTGCGTTTTATTGAGTTGTCATTTCGTTTTGAAAATGCTGAAAAGCATGTGAAAACCCTGTTTCGTGTAAGAGAAATTTAAAATGTAATTTGCAGTATTATACAGCGTTTTTGTGTGAAATCTTGACTGTAAATAATGGTTGCATGCTACTTATATTCTTCGCTTAATAATAACCAAAGTTTCTCCATAAGAAATGTCTGAACAAAACGTTTATGTCCCAAGGTGCTACTGCGGAGAAAAATGCAGTTTGTTCAAATGGTGGCCAGAAGGTGCACGCCGCTCCTGGGGCGGAGAGCCTGCATCGATAGCTGTCCCTCCCAAACATAGGAGGACCTATGGTCGCCCTGCAGCACTAGTAGCTGATCCTCGGCAGGTCCAGGATGCGCAGGCGGAGGAAAGGCCATGTCGTCTACTATAATTTAAACAAAATTAATTATTTGTGTTAGTGTAATAAATTAAATAATTAAGTATGATTAATATTAGAGAGAATAGTTATGTATGGGTTCCAGGCTTGATTTTCGAGGCCCGGTAGTACCGAGTTATCCTTAATTATTATGCGTNTCAAATTTACAAGAGTAATTTGCTTGGTATAATCCACGGTTTTATTTATATACATTATAAAGTGGTACAAATTCTGGGAAGAACCAAAATTCCAGATTCAATATGGGACGATTTAATATTTTTCATTCATTCCCATCCAATCAAAAAGTCTTTTTCGAATTTTTTGATTGTTTTCTGGATTTTGATGAATCGTAAGATTAAAAAAGGCCTTTTTTCTCAATTTTATCAATTATTTGATAATTATTAATACCAATTTTAGTATTTGGATTACTGTTGGTATCGATCTTAACCCAAGCCTCAATATCTTCTTTTTGTCTAAGAGAAAAATGGATAATTTTCCAATCAAAATATTTTCTATCGAGATTTCTTTCTATATATAGAATATTACCTTTTCTTAGATAACCATGTCGTCTACTATAATTTAAACAAAATTAATTATTTGTGTTAGTGTAATAAATTAAATAATTAAGTATGATTAATATTAGAGAGAATAGTTATGTATGGGTTCCAGGCTTGATTTTCGAGGCCCGGTAGTACCGAGTTATCCTTAATTATTCCGTCTACATTTCAACATTTTTAGAATTTTGTTACCTTAAAGAATTAAATTATAAATTTTTGAATTGGAGTAAATAATTATGTATGGGTTCCAGGCTTGATTTTTGAGGCCCGGTAGCTCCGAGTTATCCTTAATTATTATGCGTCTCAATTTCAACATTTTTAGAATTTTGTTAACTTAACAAATTAAATTATAAATTTTTGAATTGGAGATAATAATTATGTATGGGTTCCAGGCTTGATTTATGAGGCCCGGTAGCACCGAATAATCCTTAATTATTATGCGTCTCAATTTCAACATTTTTAGAATTTTGTTAACTTAATAAATTAAATAATTAATTATGTTTAATATTGGAGATAATAATTATGTATGGGTTCCAGGCTTGATTTTTGAGGCCCGGCAGCACCGACTTATCCTTAATTATTATGCGTCTCAATTTCAACATTTTTAGAATTTTGTTAACTTAATAAATTAAATTATAAATTTTTGAATTGGAGATAATAGTTATGTATGGGTTCCAGGCTTGATTTTTGATGCCCGGTAGCACCGACTTATCCTTAATTATTATGCGTCTCAATTTCAACATTTTTAGAATTTTGTTAACTTAATAAATTAAATTATAAATTTTTGAATTGGAGATAATAGTTATGTATGAGTTCCAGGGGTTGATTTTTGCGGCCCGGTAGCACCGAGTTATCCTTAATTATTATGCGTCTCAATTTCAACATACTCTACGCTAAAAGGCTCTACATTTTACTATGCTAAAAGGCTCTATATTTTACTTCGCTAAAAGACACTATATTTTATTACGCTACAAGGCTCTATAATATGAATATAACATTAACAATACAAATAAACAAAATAAATAATATTATTTAACAATACAAATTATTTATCAAATTTTAATACAAATTATTTATCAAATTTTAAGTATTTTTGGTCACAAACATAACATAAATTCGGGTATATAAATCAAATATAACACAAACAATTCGGTAGCATTTTTGGTCACAAACATAACATAAATTCGGGTATCAAATAAATCAATCCGGGTATATAAAAGATACAAAATTAAACAAAAACATAACATAAATTCACATGGTAACATACTAAACAATACTAATATGCATGACTATACGAGTTTCGGCATAAACTAAATTGAAATACCTCGATGTAAGTTTTTTGAATATTATTGAAATCGAATTTTTGCACCCGAAACACGGAATCCAAAGCTTCTTTTGTGTGTGAGACCTACACTCCTTGCTCTTTATGGGACGGATGGGGCCGGTTTTTTTTTTTTTTAAAATGACGGGGGGGTAGGGGGGGGGGGACCAGAAATAGGCAGGTTTGTTTTTTAATGGAGGCTTCAATGTCGTTGTCCAAGGAAGAAGAAAGACCTTATTTAATTAAGGCAATTCGCAGTATAGTACTGCGAATTAGTAATTCGCAGTACTATACTGCGAATCGCCTTAATTGAATGAGGCTGGGCCCAACTCATAAATTAAACGCAGCGTTTTGGTACTTCGCAGTACTATACTGCGAATTGATTTAACGGCAAAATTTTCGTTAACCCAATTCGCAGTACAGTACTGCGAAGTACCATTTTTGTAATTTTTTTTTTTTAAATATTAAAAACGTACTTTGTGTCTAAAAATTCATTAATTAAGTTTCGTACTCCAACTTAATTAAGACAATAGATTGTGTAGGAGGTGATTTCAAGAGTGAAAAAAAAGTGTAAATTTGGCCAACAAAGTTTAGAGTGGGAATACAAAATGCTGAATTTTCTATCTTTCTGGAAAATAAGATTTAATATTCTGAAATTTCATATTACATGATAGATAATTTTAAAAAACTTTATTTAATGGTTACGGAAGAACTAGATTTTACTGATATTAAATAAACTAGAGATATTTGAATATAATGTGTCATGAGCACCCATCATTGGAAGATTTCATTTGGCGTGTCCCATAGAAGAAATGACATTATTATTAGTATGAGGCCTCCTTTAAATTTTTTTGAAAACAAATAAAAGAGAAGTGGGAAGGTACCAAACAAAATGTGCAGAGCCATAGCTATGGGAGAAATTCAAAAATAGTCAGATTTACAACTGGTCGTTCAAAAATAGTCCAATTTTAAAAATAATCAAAATTTAGCCACTTTTCATGTAAAGATAAATCTGAGCAAAAACACCGTTCAAAATTCGAAAAATACGCCGGTATATTATACTGGAGTTCCAGCATAAGTATGCTTGAACTCCAGCATTTTATACTGAAATTCTAGGATAAGTATGCTGGAACTCCAACATAATATGATGGAGTTCCAACATAAGTACACTAGAACTCCAGCATAATATACTGGAGTTCCAGCAAGTATAATTGTCCAGTATAATATACTGGAGTTTGGAGCACTGGTGCTCCAGTCTCCAGTATATTATACTGGAGTAATATGCTGGAGTTCATACACAGGTGCACCGAACTCCAGTATATTATGCTGGACCGGTCTCTGTTGCAGCAAAATAGTGGCTATTTTTCATTGACTTCGTAAACGCTGCTATTTTTCATTGACTTCGTAAACGCTGGCTATTTACATAAGATAAAAATTGTTAAGTAGCATAAAAATTTACATGCATTTTTCAGCCATTAAATTTCTCCATGTGAAGATAAAATGAACACCAAAATGTCCTCTCGGTGGTCCATATTTTACTCGTACCATTAAATTCACAATCTACTTTCCCACTAACAAAGGTTGTGGCGACCTGGTAACTATTTTTTAATCTTTAACCAGAATTTCAAGTTCCGGTCCTAAGCATGTAATAGGGAGTGGTTTACCCCCTACCCCTCCCCTCCACACTTGCGAATGAACCTTGTCTCCAAAAAAAATGCCAGCAAACAATCAGGGGATGGTCTCATCGACCCACTTTTAAGTTTTAAATTATCAATAGCATATTTAAATTGTATACTTGAAGTAGGTGCACAAGTTTAAGAGCTACAAATGAATTTCTCCATTTAAATATGACCGTCAATAAGTGACAATTATGTTCCCCGAGTAATGGAGTATTTTTGTTACCTTTTCCCTAAATTAAATTTCTAGTTTTTTGTTCTGTGCTCTATCCTTTTTTCCTCCATTTCCACCACAATTTTTCTGCTACCAGAAAGAGCTATAAATACTAACAACTTAGTAGTAGCAAAAAGGCGGAGTGAATTCCATCCATGGTTTCTCTCTGGCTAGCTATTGCATTAATTGTCCTGTTTTTTCTTCTTCAAGAATTAATGCGAAAAAAGAAGAAACTTCCACCAGGGCCAAGAGGGCTTCCAATTCTTGGAAATCTACACATGATAAGCGATAATCTTCACCAAGATCTTTATAAAATAGCCAAGAAATATGGCCCCATAATGACTATTCGCTTTGGTCTTGTTCCTGTCATTGTTGCTTCCTCTCCTCATGCTGCAGAACAGTTCTTGAAAAACCATGATTCGATTTTTGCCAGCAGACCGTACAATGAAGTTTCTCAGTACATCTTTTATGAACGGAGGAATCTTGTCTCAGCCAAATACGGACCATATTGGAGAAACATGCGCAAATTGTGCACTTTGCATTTGCTAAGCAACGCCAAGATCCATCAATTTCAGCCTATGAGGAAACAAGAAGTTGGAATTCTTGCGAATTTCCTCAAACAGGCGGCATCTGAAGGCACTGTGATTGATCTAAGTGCTAAAGTTGCATCTCTTAGTGCAAACATGTCTTGTCTGATGATATTCGGGAAGAAGTACATGGATGAGGATCTTGGCGAAAAGGGCTTCAAAGCTTTAATTCAAGATATACTACACATAGCAGCATTGCCAAATATTGCGGAATTCTTTCCATTCCTTCGTGTGCTTGATCTCCAAAGATTCACTCATCGTATGAAGGAATTAGCTCAGCTTTTTGATGGGTTCTTGGAGAGGGTTGTCGATGAACATGTTATTCAATCCACTGAGCAGCAGAAGCAAGCCACAGATATGGTTGATACACTGATGGGCATTATGCAATCTAAAGAAGCTGTATTCGAGTTTGATCGGCGACATGTCAAGGCTGTTTTGCTGGTAATTTTCACTCTAAATAGTCTAATTGTGCATTTGTTTTGTCTGCTATTTATGGTTTTAATAAACCTTTGTGAATGATGCCCATTATGGTATTCACAATAGTGGAAAACATGAAAGGGTACTCCTATATTGAACTGTTTTATATGTAATAAAATAGGGAAATTTAGTCCCTTCGTGGATGGCCCAGTTGGTTTGGAGGGCGGTCATCCATACAGATGCCTGGGATCGATTCCCCCAATGGCTTCTAGGTCAGCCTGTCACACAGGGCTTGCCTAGTGCAGTTTAAATCCCCTGTGTGATTTGCAGGCTAGTACACATGGGGGTTTACCCAGAACGGGCAGAGGCTGTAGCGCACTACTAGAAAAACATCAATATGTGACCAAATTTTGCAATTGAAAATGAAGTAGTCGCTAATGGGACTACTTCTGCGACCGCAGTAGTCGGAAAGGGATTGAATTTTTGTTACTTATTTTTTTTTTTAAAAAAAAAAATGACTATTATTCCGACCAAGGCAGTGGGAAAACAGATCGCCAATTACCCGCCTTCACTTTTGCGATCGACTTGGTCGGACATTAAAAAGTCAAATATTTCTGTTGACCCACTAAGCGACTTTGTCGGTCGCAAAATTAAAATTAAAATAAATAAAAGAATTTTAAGTGGGTTTGCGACTAGGGTGGTATGTAACATTAATCTAATATTCCACATCCAAATCCTATTTCCCCAATTTTCTCTATCTCTCTCTGCTCGCCGATAACCCCCTCTCTCTGCTCGACACCGATAACGCCCCCCTCCCCAAATTTTTGAAGGTAAATCACTAATCACTCAGCTCTCTCTCTTTCTTCTCATACTGCAAGTTTTTTTCCCTTTTCTGTTTAATTTTTTCGTTCATCTGAAAGCTCAAATCGAATTTCTTCCGGTTCGCTCAAATCGTTGCCCTCTTCCGTCAATCCCAGCACCGTCTACTTTGATCCAGTTCTATAGTGACATAGTTGACACCTGAGTTTTCTCATTTTTCCTATACCTTTTGGTTTGCAGTTTACTGTTTTTCCCTGTGGTGGTAAGCATGCCTTTTATGTGTTCATTTTCTTAAAAAGTAAATCTAATGTTGTTGATTCGATCTATTGATCTATTGATCTATGCTTATTTATGAAATTATTTGCTGCAATTTGTGTGATTTCATCTTGGGACTGATTTTTCTTTTGGTAGTGATATATTGTTAAGCTGGAGATTTTACGTTTTGATTGTTGATTTGGAAGGAACGAGTGTTTTGCTGATAGAATTTGTGATGCTTTGACTTAGTTCTTGTCTTTTCCTTGAACTTGGTTAGATTGGACTCTTAGAAAGAGTTTTGGGGTGAAGACTTCAATTTAGATGTTTATGTTTATTTGTTAGATAAACTTCGGGTTTTCCTGGGGTTCCCAAAAAAGAATAGGAAAATTTACCTTATTGGGTCGCCCTCCAAAACAATAGTAGGCAAATGTATATATTTTGTATATTAAGTATAAATATAGATATAATATACATTAAGCAGTGTAAATGTTTTCTACATGTTGTTTACTGCCTGTAATTAATTTTGGTCGAAGGGCCAAAATGAAAAAAAACCAATAAAATATGCAGTATGGTTTTGCTAATTATCTTTGATCGTAGAATACAAATTTTAGATTTCCAATTTTCAGTATATTGTGATTTTAATAGCTAAAGAGTATATTGATGTATTCAGGACTTGCTAATAGCATCTACAGATACTTCATCAACAACAATTGAATGGATTCTAACAGAACTTTTAAGGCACCCTGATGTGATGAAAAAACTCCAGAGTGAATTGGAACAAGTAGTTAGTAAAAACAGGATGGTAGAAGAATCAGACTTAGAAAACCTACAATATTTGAATATGGTCATAAAAGAAGGTTGTAGGCTTCATCCAGTTGCTCCATTATTGATTCCTCATGAGTCTATTGAAGATTGCACGGTTGATGGTTTTCATATACCTAAAGGATCCCGCCTTTTGGTTAATGTTTGGGCAATAGGGAGAGATTCAGATACTTGGCTTGAGCCAGAAAAGTTCAAACCGGAGAGATTTCAAGGAAGCAACATTGATCTCAGAGGACAAAATTATGAACTTTTACCATTTGGCTCGGGCAGAAGAGGCTGTCCTGGTTTGCAATTAGGGCTCACCATCGTTCGTTTGGTGGTCGGACAATTGGTTCACTGCTTTGATTGGAAGCTACCAAATGACATGCTGCCAGAAAATATTGACATGACTGAAAAATTTGGATTAGTAACAGCTAGAGCTCAGCATCTAATGGCAATTCCTACTTATCGACTGCATATGAAGTAAAATGCAAATGTTGAAATAAGTCAAAGATTTGCACTGCCTTTGATTTGAATATGAAAGTAGAAAAGGGGGTGGTCAATTGAATTGTAGCCTTTTTAGTAGTCGAAGCACTGAAGAGGTAGTCCACTAAAGTAGATAGTAAAGCAGAAGTAAATAGCTTGGTGAAAAGTAAACTACAAGAATTATAAATGACAGACATAATTTATACTGATTTGGATTCAATGTAATGTTCTAATCAAGTCTCCTTAAATTACAAAAAGTTATATCGGACGCTCTTTGTGGTAACTTGAGTACAATACTTGGTGTATTTTGTACGCAAATTTGACCAATCTATTTTTCTCTCATGTCTTTAAAAATAGTCTAAATACCTAGATAGCCCCTTAATACCTGGCACCATTTATAAGTTAAACATTTGAACTTTTCTAGTGACCAAATAGTTACTTTCAGCAAAACGTTTGTCTCTTAAACATAAGTAATGTCTCAAAATCAATTTGAGCGTGCGAGAGTCTTTTATTTCATTTTATATCTGAAAAACGATCCTAAAATTTCAAGTTATATCATCCCAACTTCGGCGAGCACCCGACAGGATATAATAGCCGCTCCGACCTAAAATCACTGTCACTGTCCCTTTCAAAATTCTTAAAACTCTCCACTCAAAATTTATTTCCATTTTTTCCCCTCAATCTACATTTTTCTCTCCCTTTCCCCTATCAAAGCCAAAAATTCTTTCCCCTCAATCCACCTTTTTCTCTTCCCTATCAAAACCAAAACTACTTCAATAACTTAAAGGCCTTTTTACATTCCTATACACTATATGAAACTATATTACCATCCCAATTCAAGTTTTACTACAATTACATTTTATACACCCAATTACCATTTATGTACATTTTAAGGGAATTAATGATATTAATTAGTGTCCTAAAATAAATCTACCGTATATTCCCACTCGCCCCACGTTTCTCTCGTCAAATCCCATTCCCCACCCACGTATCTTGCACTCACCCACGATTTTCTCTTCACAAATCTCGAAATCCTCCATTAATGCCTATTTCATCTCTTCTTCAAAAACCAGAAGAAATTTTTACTCTTATTCAAAATTCCTACCTCCATTAACGTCTCTGATTAGCTTGATTTTCAATGAAGAAGAAGATATCTACGTAAAGCAAAGGAATTCTCTCTACGTCTCTCTCTATCTCTAAATCCCTAATTTCAGTAATGTAAAGCAAAGGAAAAGAAAGCAGTAATTCCACCATTGACAGCCATTAAATTTTTTTGAAGCTTTGAATTCGAATTTGGGTTTTCAAAAGTCATTATTTGTTTGGATTGGGTGTTGTTGCAAACAATTGGGAATATGGTTTGAAGTTTATATCTCAATTTTAAGGGTGTTTCGGTGAAGATTAGACTTGATTATGCCTGAATTTCAAATTGAAACTCGAAGAAGAAGAAGAAGAAGAAGAAGAGGACGTGATATACATTATATTTACGTAATTGTAGTAAAATTGTAGAAAAATTGTATTATGTTATATATATAATTATTGTATGAAAGTTGAACAATATTATATACAAATTATATTTAAGTTGTATGATATTGTAGTTGTATATAACTGAGTAGAAATAATGTATGAAAATTATAAATAAGTTGTAGATAAGCCGTAGACAAGTTGTATAATATATAATTAGTTGTATGAAATTTATTTTTACTATGTATAAATCAGATATAAAATATACAAAAACAACAACAACAACAACAACAACAACAACTACCCAGTAAAATCCCACCAGGTGGGGTCTGGGGAGTGTAATGTGTACGCAGACCTTACCCCTACCCGATTTATACAAAAGACATTGTAAAATTTTATATTTAAGTTGTATGTTATTGTAGTTGTATTTAACTGAGCTGAAATAATATATGAAAGTCGTAGATAAGTTGTATAATATATAATTAGTTGCATGAAACTTGTTTTTACTACGTATAAATCAGATACAAAATATACAAAAGATATATTGCATAAAATCTGCATAAATATTGTGTTTAAGTTGTATGATATTGTAGTTGTATATAACTGGGTATAAATAATGTATGAAAGTTGTAATAAATTTTATAAACCTATGACATAAGCTTTGGGATTTTTTCGGTCTCTTTTAATTTAGACGATTTGTTATTTAAAATTCATCCAATATGAATGGACCAGGTACATCTGTTTGTATTTCTGCTTCGTCTAATTCTGTCAGATCTAATTCTTTAATTGATGATGGTACTTCTCATGCTTTTCTGAAAAATATCTCACCTTTAAATTCATTTGGTTCTCATCAAGACAAGCCAAGTTATACAGATCGTTGAACTAGTGGCATGAATTCCTCTTCATATGGTGGTAATTTTCTCGGTTATAATGTATCTGTCCTACACCTGAAGGACCTTTGTTTCCATAATTTCTTTATCTCTTTTTCTCCATTCTTCTATGATTTCTTTGACCCAACGAACCGATCAGTATAGTGCATAAAAAACTAAGAAAGTACAGGCAAAATGAAAGATATTTTGCATTTACATACTTCGAGATTTCGAAATTTCGTAAAACAAAATTAGACAATTGAAAACCATCCGTGTCTGTAGAGACTTTAAATAATTCATCACTTGCTATTAAACGTGAAAATAGTTACTCTCCACTTATTCACTCAAAAGACCAAGAAAGTGGAAACAAGAGTAGCGATAAAAGTATTAAGAAAATGAAAATAATAATAGCATCAGAAGCCTGGGAATCACCAAAGTACATGGAGAGACACCAGTTAATTCATCACATGCTTGATATATGAATGAGTTTCCTTAGCTTTATTTCCCTAGACCCCACTTGTGGAATTTTACTGGATTGTTGTTGTTGTTTCATTAGCTTTATAAGTTTTGTGTCTCTTCTTTTCGTAACTTTAATTTGCATCCCCGGGTTGTTTTAATGATATTTCACTTCACGATTAGTATAGTGCATCAGAAAAATAAGGAAAGAGAAGAAGAGAAAAAAAAGGTAAGGGGTGTAACTAAATCCCTTAATTGAAGGCACTAATAATCGATTGGGAGCCTTTTAAGGTGAAATGTATATATTTTGAAAACAAAATTTGTCTAGTTAGGAACATTTAGGATAATTAAGTTTCCAATAGTGTATAGGAATGAAAAAATCCCTAATTTAAATAGACGCAACCAAGGTTCTTCTGAATAAAATTTAATTAAGAAACTGGATCTCAAGTTTTGCTAAATCATAATCATAAAAGCGAACTAAATCTGTTGCTGTCAACTACAGCACCTAGTTCCAAAATAGCTGGAAAGATAAATATTTTATCGAGATTCCTTCTTTTTTCCTCTTTTTAAAATAATTGAAAACAAACAAAATACCAAACAAAAGGTTTAAAACGTGCATTTACAGTCTCTCTCTATCAATTATTGTCCCTTTCCTTTCCGTGCATCTAAATTTTTTTTCATGTCAGAAAAAAAAAAAAAAAAGAAGAAGAGGCACAGCAATCTCACCTTCTGTTTTTTTGGCTGAAATCATCGAATGAAATACATACAATAGTAACGTTTAATAATATTCAATATATAGGTACTTCACTTTTTCGTAGAGATGGTCTAAAGGAAATTAAAAAAAATATCAGCAAATCACTGCATAATTATGCTTAAGCAGTAGTTTTCGCCAAGTCCTTCTGTTAATTTTCCTTAGTTTGAGCATTTTATATTAATGCTTTGGTTCTCTACCATACATTTTTGATAAGTTACACCTACTTTTAGTTTAAGATTGGTCTCGTGTATTGAAACTGATAAGAGTACAGTGAATTTGTCCAGTGACAAATGGAAGGTAAACCTAACAAAATGTGCAGAGCCATAGAAACCAACTACTACCAATTGACAATTAGTGATCCACGTATGAATAGACTACACACAGGGAGCTGCATTGCTCAGCCATTAAAATTTCTTCACTTGATGACAATATAAACACGAAAATGTCCTCTAGATGGTCCATATTTTACAGAAGAGAGGACAAGATGCTAATTAAAGTGAATGAAAGGCTAGTCATTTCTTCTACTTATTGTACCATTTATTACACTAGACAGTAAGATGCTTCAAAGCAAATATTTCCATACAATAAGTAGTAAAGTCTTGTGGTATCAGTGCATAAGTAGGTGAAAAAATACGTGTACGTGTGCCGAGCTATCAAAGTAGTAGTAACGCCTAAAGAAGCTAGAGCAAGGTCTAATTGAAAATGAAGCGAATTATTTATTGTGTCATAAAGACCCTTATGACCACGTCCCACGGAGGCTTTATGAACTCATATAGCATTCGTTCTTTCAATTCTTGGTTCGAACTTAAAGAATTTCGGCATTTAAATATGTCTCAATCAAACTAAAGAGATGTCTATGAATTTCGGCATTTAAATATGACCCTCTGTAAGTGACCATATGTTCCCCCAGTAAATAGTAGTAAATAAAGGAGTATTTTCCTTACCTTTTCCCTTTCTGCCTTTTTGTTGTCATGTGAGCTATTTTTGGCCTCCAATTTCCACCACAATTCCTCTGCTTCCACAAAGATCTATAAGTAGTACCTTTTCAACAAGTATATTAGTAGTAGCAAAAAGGGGTGTGAATTCCATCCATGGCTTCTCTTTGGCTAGCTCTTGCAGTAGTTGCCTTGTTTTTTCTTCTTCTTCAACAACTACAGAAGAAGTTGAGTACGAAGAAAAAGAAACTTCCGCCAGGGCCAAGAGGGCTTCCACTTCTTGGAAATCTACACATGGTAGGCGAGAATCTTCACCAAGATCTTTACAAAATAGCTAAGAAATATGGCCCCATAATGACTATCCGCTTTGGTCTTGTACCTGTCATTGTTGCTTCCTCTCCACATGCTGCAGAACAGTTCTTGAAGACTCATGATTTGGTTTTTGCCAGCAGACCGTATAATGAAGTTCCTCAGTACATGTTCTATGAACGGAGGAATCTGGTCTCAGCCAAGTACGGACCATATTGGAGGAACATGCGCAAATTGTGCACCCTGCAATTGCTAAGCAATGCCAAGATCCATCAATTTCAGCCTATGAGGAAACAAGAATTAGGAATTCTTGTGAATTTCCTCAAACAGGCTGCATCTGAAGGCACTGTGATTGATCTTAGTGCTAAAGTTGCATCTCTTAGCGCGAACATGTCTTGTCTGATGATATTTGGGAAGAAGTACATGGACGAGGATCTTGGCGATAAGGGTTTTAAAGCTCTAATTCAAGATATACTGCACATAG